ACTGATCTTCCTTTTCTCTATTTTACTCAGGTAAGCATTTAGAAATATAAAATTTCTCCTAAGAACTGTTTTGGCTGCATCCCACAAATCTGGAATGTTGTCTCTTTGTCATTATTCTATTTAATGAAATTATTTATGGTTTCTATGATTTATTATTTGACCCTCTCATTCTTTAGGACTGAATTATTTTGTTTCCAGTTAATTTTTAGTCTATCTTTCCTTGATCCTTTATTACATGTAACTTTTATTGCATCATGATCTGAAAAGGATGCATTTGATATTTCTGCCTTTCTGCATTGGATTATAAGGTTTTTATGCCCTAATACAGGGCCATTTTTGTGAAGGTGCCATGTACCACTGAGAAAAAGGTATATTCCTATCTATCCTTGCCCAACTTTTTTTCCAGAGATCTATCATATTGAACTTTTCTAAAATTCTGTTCACCTCCCTAACTTCTTTCTTGTTTATTTTGTGGTTAGATTTATCTAGTCTTGAGGGGGAGAAAGTTGAGGTCCCCCCAGTATAGTTTTGTTGTCTCTTTCTTCCTGTAACTCACTTAACCTCTTCTTTAAAAATGTGGATGCTATACTTGGTGCGTGTATGTTTAGCATTTATATTACTTCCTTGTCTATTATACCTTTTAGCAGGATGTAGTTTCCTTCCTTATCTCTTTCGATAAGATCTATTTTGCTTTTGCTTTGACTGAGATCAGGATTGCTATCCCTGCTTTTTTTACTTCTGCTGAAGCAGAATATATTATGCTCCAGCCTTCTACCTTTGCACTGCCTGGTCACTGGCTTTGTGCTCTGCGGCCTCAGGTGCTGGTGCCTTGCTGGGATCGCCCAGCCTAGTTGTGCCTGTTGTTGCTTGGGTTCTGGGGCTGGCAGTTTGCCTTCTACACTGGGGTGGGAGGCCTCGCAGCTTGCCTGCTGTGCCACTGACCTGTTGAAGTAGGACCAATGGGCCTTGGCTTCTGATCTGTGCTGTGGATAATAGCCTCTTGCTTGATTTCCTGGATACTGTCTGAATTGGGCTGTACTCCCCTTTTACCCAAGTGAGACAGACCTTTTCTGAAATCCTTTTAAGCTATCCTAAGCTGGGAAATTGATTCACTACATCTTTTTGTGAATTCCATCACTCCAGAATCTGTTTATAGGCTTGATTTAATGTTGTTTCCAAAGGAAACTGGGGAGATCTCAGGCAACTTCTTGGCTTCTCTCTGCCATCTTCTCTGGAACTTAATTTTGAAAAAAAAATAAAGAAAAAACAGAAATAACCAAGGCTTGCCCATAGTGGCAGAGTGTCACCTGACCTCATCTACCTATATGACTGAAGCAAGGGAAGCTATTTAACACTTACTGGGGGAAATTCGGCATTTCAAAATCAAAATTCAGGAGCTGTGTCAAGAGGTTCAGCCCAGTAGAAGGAAATCCACAGAGAGGAAGCGTCAATGGAGGCCTCCAGTGCAGGGTGGGGAATGCAATGGCTTATGGAGCCTGCTTATTGGTGATGGAAAATAAACTGAGAGACCTGAGAAGCTGATGACATCCCACTATAAGTGGGCCAAGAACCTTTGGTTGGAGTGAGGTCAAGGAAGCAGTATGGCCAAGAGGATGTCTACTATGATGTCTCTGACCTCAGGAATCTAGCAGCATATGGACAATACTGGACTTACCAAGGCAAATGGTAATATCTAAGAGGCATCTACAGCATCCCAAGCTATTTACCAAGACCAAGCTCAAAAGAGACTGATGCTTTTGTCCCTCCATCTGTCCACACATGGAAACGGAAGCTTTCCCACCCCTGAGTAAGTTTCCCCGATAAATGGCAGTTCCCCACTTCAGTCTATGAAAGATTACATCCATCTTGCATGACTGGGGTGGGGGGAGGTACTGAGAATGATTCTGATGCCCACATATCTTCTTTTGTTGCTAATTAAATATGTTGCTCTGATTTGTGGCTTCTGTGTGGTATGTGAATCAATAGTAGGTAATAGAATGGGAAAAGGAGTCATATTTGCATAACTAGAATTTAACCAAAAAGTTCACTGAACATGAGCTACCTAGGGACCTCAGCACTGGGGGAAGTTACACAAAACATTTGTGTTTGGATTTTTTATGTTTTATTGGTGCCAGTTGTTCTCTATACAGCCTAAGCATTTAGTGCAAATTATTTCCTAGACTGTCAGTAGCTTTGAGGTCTTTCTCCCTCACCCTCACTGTAGGTACCACATAATTAAAGCCAAGTGTTACAGTTGGCTCCACCCATGTCAAAGTCTATGCTTACCACAGCCTCTGTATTAACTGTATATCCATCCAATGTTTACTTCCCATTTAACTCACTGAATTTTCTCTTCCCCCTTCAGTTTCTCCTTTTGCCACTGGGTTAAGAGACTATCAGTGTCTGCATCTAGCAAATACAGAGAGTGTATCCCTGGCCTTACTGTGGGTGAGAAATTCTGAAGAATCAAAGGAAATTTCTAATCTATGTGCTTTGTTCTTTTCCTGTAAAAAAAGAATAATGACTCAATTTGAAAAATCCATGGATAATCTCTTGATTTTCTCATGGAGTACACTGCCTGATTTCTTGATTTGGCCAATGGACCTACTTCCTAGTTTATTTGTTCTTGGATATGTGTTTGTTCTTTAAATATACATTTTGTTGCTCTTTTTAAAATTATTCGATCACTCCCCAAAATTACTCTGTCATAGACATTAATAGTTTTTAAACAGAGATTTTAAAAAGTTTCCCTATAATAATCCCACTGCCCCATACCACTCTGGACATGGTGTTGAGGGGGCAGCCTTTTGTGGATCCCCAGTATTACAGCTTCAAAATAGAGGTGAGATTTAGACTTGGTAGAAGGAAATAATTCTTCACACTCTGGGGTATCCAAATGAGAGATTAACTGCCTCAGCAGGCAGTAGGTTCCCCATCATAGAAAGTCTTTGAGTAGAAACTGAATAGCTCCTTGTTGGGAATGGTATAGAGAGGATTCCTGTTCAAATATGAGTTACATTAAATGATCTCCAAGGTCCCTTCTGACTTTAAGAGTCTGTGATATCGCATTTTGTGAAGCCCTTCCCAGCCCTTGAAGATGGTCTTCATAAGCTGCTGTGGCCAACTGGTAGATTTCCAATTTTAAAGAATTAGAGTACAACCAACTTCCCTCAGCACTACTATTCTACAAAGCACATATTAATGTGCAATGATTCAGAAGATGCTTCAGCCCTCCTCAGTGTCGCAAGTCATCATTTTAACATTTAACTCTCATTGTCTGGGACTGAAATTGGAGACATTGCAGGAGATTGGGATAAATCAAACACTGAGCCCTAGAAGTTAGGTGGTCCCCCAGTAGTTGATTTGGGAATAAATTCCCAGTAGCCATTTGTTTTCCCTTTATCAGTTATCTCTTTATCATAGAAATTGTGGGGAATAAGTCTGTTTATTCAGGCATCCTAGTTGTTTCATATCAGATAGACAGGATTTTTATGGACTTAGCATATCATTAATATATATTGGGTCCCCAAAGTCATTCTCATGACAGCTTAAAAAGACAGCATTTGTTTGAATAAAACTGGACAATACTAGAATTATATCATTGAGCTGTGTTCAGTTCTGATTGTTGGGGATGGCACCTAATTTGACTGCAGTAGGTCTAAGATTAGTGACGTTTCTTGTGGTATAGATTCAGTTTCTTGGAAGACAAATTCTTTGGCTATTAATGAAAATGGTTTTGTAAAGGAGGCCTTTGTGCTATATGTGAAGAAACCAGGAATTCAGTTTTGATTTCATCCACCCATCTCTCCATCCATTCATTCATTCAACACACATATGTCAAGTTTCTACATGGGTGGGATGAAAGCGAATAAGTCATAGTAGAGTGCTGGGCTTTCAATCAGGAAGACCTGGCTTTGATTTAACTTCTGATATTTACTAGCTGCATAACTCTGAGAAAGTCATTTACCCTAGCTGGCTAGATGGCATGTTGGATTTGGAGTCAAGACAATCTAAGTTCAAATCTGGCCTCAGATGTTCACTAGCTGTATGATCCAGGGTGAATCACTTAATCACTGTTTGCCTCAGTTACCTCATCTGTAAAATGGGGATGATCACAATATCTAACTCTCAAAATTGTTGTGAAAATAAAGTAGGATAATATTTGTAAAATGCCTTGCAAACCATCACATGTTATATAAATGTTCACAATTATTATCATTTAATCTCTCTCAGGTGACTGCTTATGAGTTACCTATTAAGTCTTAGATAAGGTATAGTCTGTAGTAGAGGAATTCCTCAAACTACCAAAATCACAGACCCTTTATGTGTTTGTATATGTGCAAGATGTGGGAACACAGGTGCGATGTGATATGCACCTTTGGAGGGAATACCCACATCAGTGAGATGATAGATGGACAGAAGCACAGCAGTACATGTTTAGACATTGAACTGGGTGCTAGCATGAAACAAAAATAGAAAAGATGGGGTCTCTGCCTTCACTGAGGGAAAAGATATGTACATGAAACCTAAAATTCTGATATGTACTTACATATTTGAAACATCTATTCTACCTGGCGAGCTCCCCTGACTAGATAGGACCATTGAATGCCAACCATGGCATCACTATTTGGATGATGAGACTTGTTTGTACCTTCAAGTTTTGACCTTGTGCCTCTGATAGTCCAGTTCTGTGCCTCATCAGATATCACATACCATTCTGGTTTTTTTTTCTCTTACACATTTATAAAGATTACTCTATATTTATTTCTAGACAAGTTGGGTAATGTAGAGGAAATAATAACTCTCGTTTAATCTTTTAAAGTTTATATAATACTTTCCCCCTCAACAACGTCATGAAATTGATAGTGTAAATATTAACCCAATTTTACACATGGATGGACTGAGGGTTAAGAAAGTGAAATAAATTACACACGCTTGTGTCAGAGCTAGAATTCCAACCCAGATCTTTTGAATCTCATTCCATAAAGAAAGGTCCCCCATACTGCTTCACTAAAAGGGTCATTCAGTCAACACATATTAATTAAATGCTTACTATGTGCCATGGTTTATGTTAAGTGCTGGGGTTACGGAGAAAGGTAAAAAGACCATTCTTGCCCTCCAAGTGTTCACAGTCATCTGGGAATCATAATATCTCAATTTGCACCCAAGATGCCCCACTTTTAGCCATGTGACCAGGGGCATGAGTGTCCATCTTTTTGAGCTTCAGTTTTCTCATCTGAAAAATAAGGGAAGTAACATTTTACTATCTGCCTTGCAAGTTTGTGAGTTAAGTGCTTTATGAACTGCAAAGCACTATATAAATGTGAATTACTATGAATATATTGAGGATTATTTGCTTATGTGCTATATCCTCCTGTTATATACTAATCTCTATGATGAAAGGAGCCTCATGCCTATACTTCATAGGAGGTGATACAGAATTAGGGAGAAAACGCGAATGAACAGTTTTAGAAGCTGATATGCAAATGCAGATAGTATGGTTAATAAACAGGGTCAACTAGAGATCTTATTACAAGAAGGAAAAGTTAACTCATGGGTATCACTGTGTCATGGGATGAGACTAACAATTGTAATATGGTTGTAGAAGAGAAAACCTCTTTCAAAGGGAAGAGAAGAACTCAAAGATGGCTATGGAAAAGTATCATATATTAAGATCTACACATGTGAGGAAATCCCATGAATTCAATGGGGAAAACATGGTAAAGAACATTTGGGAGAAGACTAATAGAGAGAGAGGTAGAGAAATGGTATTACCATATGAGAATACTGCAGAACATCTGGACAGAAGTAGGAAATTGATGAGTAGTTCAAACAACAGAACACAAATCTAGTATGGAAGTATGATAGAGTGGTGATGTGGGACTTGAGTTCTTCAGATATCTGCCTAGCTTCTGTCTCTTCCAAAAACACCACAGCTGATAAATACTTAACAATCACTTTCATTTTCAAAAGTTGGAGAAAGCGGTGATGAGAACAGCTATTTCTGCTGTGATTCTTATTGACAAACAAGACCTGGTTTCTAAAGAGATGGGAAGGACTGACCTTTTCCATGTTAAAATTTGTGATAGAAGAGGTGTGCCAAAAATATTGTGACATGTACCTTAGATTTTGGGAGAATGGATTTCACAAAGTTCAGAGGAAGGAGAGATAAGATCCCTTGGCCTAAAATTCTGTTGTGCACATGAATGCGTGCATGTGCACGTACATATGCACAAACATATACACATGTGCAAACACACACCCATCAGACTTAAAGGGACAGGAATCTCTAAAAACTAAAAAATCAAATGTCACAGAAATGTCTCCCTCTCCCCAATGGATAGGGAAGTGGATGCTGTCAAACAAGAATACTTAACCTAGAATCCAAGAGTGTGTATTAAAAAAATATATATTTTGATAATTGTATTTCAATACAATTGGTTTCCTTTTTAATTCTATAAATTCGATTTTATTTATTTAAAAATATCATTTTGAGAAGGAGTCCATAGACTGCCAAAAAGAGTTCATAACAGACACTTCAAAAGATTAAGAACCTCTAATTGAAAGAAATCAGTTGAGAGGTACATAGACCTTATCATCCAAGTAAGATTTTTTAGGAGATATCAATAAGAATCTGGGATGGGACTTGTGATTTAATTGGTGTGGGAAACACTTCAAGAGGAAACTCCTCTTATTCAAGGTAAACATCTTTTTTGCAACTTAAAGTCTTTAAGAGCTCCAAATCCATTTTGCAAAATGACTACTGGATATTTTGAGCTAGATGCCCCATAGGCTTCTTGAACTCAACATGCTCAAAATCTGACTCATTCATTATCTTTCTCCCAAAGATGAGTTCCTTTTAGGAACTTTCCCACTTCTGCCGAGGGCAACAGTAGCCCTCTAATCACCCCTATTTACAACCTCAAAATCATCCTCAAATCCTCCCAATCTCTTGACCCCCATTTCTAATCAGTTGCAAGGTCTTAATTCTACCTCCTGCACAATTCTCCTTCTCTTTTCTCTATTCACATGACCACCACCCTGGTTCAGGTCATCATCATGGAATATTAAATGAGCCTCCTCATTGGTCTCCATGGCACAAGTCATTCTTCTCTCCAAAGCATCCCCCCCCCCATAGCTGCCAACATTATATTCCTAAAAAACAAATCCGACTGTGTCAATCCCCTGCTCAATAAACTCTGGTGGCTCCTTATTGCCTCTGGGATCAAACACAAGTTCCTCTGATCCCACCTTTCCAGCTTTCTTATGCATTACTCCTCTTCATATGTTCCAGCCAAACTGGCCTGGCTATTGCTTCTTTATCCACATCTGCCTTGGCATAGGCTATCCTGCTTGCTTGAGATGCCTCCCTCCTCATCTCTACCTCTCAACACCCCTAGTTCCCTGAAAAGATCAGTTCAATGACCACCTCCTACAAAAGGCCTCTCTGATCTTCCCTCTCAGCTGATGGTCTCACCTTTGACCCACAATGTCTGTGTGATGCTGATTAAGTCCTTCAACCTCTCAATGCCCCCCAAGCAACTCTCAAAGACGGCAGATGGTAGAACATTTGTCATTCTGGATTGATAGAGTAGTAAGTCCCTCACCAAGAACTCCTTATACCAATGGTATAGTAGGTTTTATACGCTTTATATGTGTGTGCATATACTTATGCACATATACATACATATACATACCTATATACCCTTAGAGGTATACATAATCATGTACAGGTACATATATGCACATATATTGTAAATAGAAGGTAATCTTATAGGGAAGACAAAAGCAGAGGAGGCGGAGTGGGCTGGTAAACGTTTAACAACTGGCTCTCTGGGAAAAAAAAGTACTAAATTTAATTTGCATTAACATTTTCTGCACCATTTTCTTAAGTCTAAACAATCAACAAAATAATAAGTCAAACCCTGATTCCCAGCATTTAAAGATTCTGAGGTGTAAATGCTCACACTGAAAATGTAGCAGTTAGCTATCAAAAACCTGTTGACCTCAGCATGCTCCTGACTAGAGGGAACTAGGAAAGGCCACTTGTAGAAGATGCAAGTTGATTGCGGCTTGAAGGAGGCCAGGAAAGCCAGGAGGAAAAGGTAAGAAGGGAAAGCACTCTAGCTATAGGAGACAGTCAGTACAAAGACCTAGAGATGGGAGATGGAACATTCTGAGCAAAGAACAGCAAAAAGGTTGATGTTTCTGGATTATAGATTATGTTTTGTAAAAACTGTTATTATTATCTTTGGAAACAAACACTAAGACTTTTTTTTTCCTCCTGATATATTTCAAATGTTCAATGATGCAATAAGTATACTTTGGCAGAAGGCAAGATCATATTTATTCTGCTAATGTATTCCTTAAATTCGAAAAAAAAAAGTGACCCAGGAACAGCATCAAGAAAGACTCTTGGAAAAAAAAAAATGGCTCATTAAGTTGAGCAAGTGAGAAACCTTTAAAAACATGCATTTGGGGGGCAGCTAAGTGGTGCAGTGGATAGAGCACCGGCCCTGAAGTCAGGAGGACCTGAGTTCAAATCTGGCCTCAGATCAAACACTTCACACTTACTAGCTGTGTGACCCTGGGCAAGTTACTTAACCCCAACTGCCTAAAAGGAAAACAAACAAACAAAAAAAACCCATGCAATTGGATGGGGACATTTTTAACACTATCCACATCTAAGCAGACAAAGGACTGTAAGTATTGTTGGCCTTTGACAGAAGGAATTAAAGCTAACAAGTAGGATTTTACTAGAAAACATATTAAAAACAAGTATACATAAGAGAGACCCTGAAGCCATTCAAGATTCCCAGTAGATTTTAGAAAGTTTGTGTGGGAGTGAGAGGTTCACACCATGAGTAGTAGATATCAGCTTCCCAGTTTCTTTTCCTTTTCTACCTTCCCCCCAACCCCATCTTCGATCTGTCACTATTTGCCACCAGCCCAGAGCACTCCAGTGCCTTATGCCTCACCCAACTGGGGCTGCTTGGTCCCAGCTTGATATTCGGGGCCAACTTCTGCCCTGCCAGCCCCCAAATGTAGGAGTAGCAAAGAAAAAAAAGTGTCTTGGGAGGTGATAGCAGCTTTTGGCTATAATAGTTGTATAGAGTCAGACTTCCTGGAATAGGACCCATGAGAGAGAGGAGGAGGAAGATAAGGAAAGAGGGAGGAGGGAAGAGAAAGAGAAACAGGCTGACATTCCATGAACTTTCAAAGAGGAAGGAAAGTACCCAGTAAAGTTCTTAGTTCCTAAAGTCCTAATTTCAGGAAGATCTATGATGAAAAAAATTCCTCCTCTATAACTTTGTTCTCTTATCACTGATCTCTCTAAATTTATCACTCCTCCCAACAGCTTTCAGGATGAGGGAAAGAATCTATCTCACTAAAGGTCATACTTTCTTCTCTTGTGACACTGTCATGGAATAGGAGTAGTAGAGGGCACCAGAGCAGTGAAAAAGGCCCTTTATATACTCAGAATTTAATCTTCCTTCATAAAATTTCTAAGTTGAAAAGTACTTCAAAGGTCATCTAGTCCAAAGTACAGGGTGTCCCAAAAGTCCTAGTGCAATTGGAACTCAGTGATATGATCCAATTCCAGTGGTTCTAGTTTCTCTTTGTTGTTTGTTTGGGTTTTTTTGGCTAGACAATGGGGTTAAGTGACTTACCCAGGGTCACACAGCTAGTGTTATGTGTCTCAGGCCACATTTGAACTCAGGTCCTCCTGAATCCAGGGCCAGTGCTCTATCCACTTTGCCGCCCAGCTGCCCCTAGTTTTTCCTTGGAAGCAGTCCTGGTGATCTTCACATTGACCTCAAGGCTTTCATTTTTCATTGCTTTCCAAATCTCTCCTTTCCATTGAATACACAACTCAAGGCATCACAACTCCTTTTCCTCAGTCCATAAGCTAGCAGGGCTCCATCAGTTCATAGATCTGTTTGGGCCTAACCTCTACTTATCTTCCCCCCTACCTTCTACCACCACCATGATAACTGGCTGCCCTAGTGAGTAGGCTACTCCATTTTTCTCTTCTTGCTTACCATGGTATATACTTTTCCTTTGTCATGTACTCCAAACTACAAGAGAGTTTTCTAGAGATAATTCACAAGGTAAAAGAAAATATGTAAATTTGAAGGGGGGGGGGGGGGGAGACACTAAGGGAGACAGTCTGAAGTCTGTATGAAAGAAAAAAAAAAATCTATTCCCTGACTACAAGGTACCTGAGCTTTAAGTAAAGCTTGCCAGGCCCGACTCAACCTTCATGATCTTCTCTAGGCAGGGATGTCTGCCTTCCTTCATTGCAGCCCGAGAAAAGACGCATATCTTTTCCCTCATCATCACTTGAGTGTTCCAATATGAGTCATCATCCTTTCCGCAGTCCCAACCTTCTTTGCAGCCTATCAGGGAGGCTCCTGATTTTAAAATTAGGTTCTGAATGCCCTTTCCATATTCCTTTTTTTAAAAAATATTTGCTATCTAACTGACTCCTTCCTATTTACCTGGTGAAGGGTGAAACAAGAAAGTACAAAACAGATACAGGTCATATTCCTATTACTAAAAAAGATCTGAATAATTAAACCTCATAAAGTTTATAAATGATAATCTTATAATAATTATAAAAGATAATATCTTCTTTTGCATTGGGAACCCTTTCTGTGCAGAACATACATTTGATGCTCGGAATGAACAGTTCTTTGAACAGATGCCCTTGTTATCTTAATCCACAAATTTTATAGTTTTCTAGCGACCTTACTGGAGGAAGAATAAATAAAATACAATATACTAGAGGAGTTGGAAGTCTCTTTGAAGGGTAGCAAGAATCTGTGAGGAATGAATCATGGATTTTGCTCAGATGGAAGGGCCTTATAGAACACAGTCAAAATGGGGAGTGGGAATGGGGAGTGGAAGTCTTCATCACTGGATCAACAAGCAGTTGTGTCTGGGCAGACTATAAGAAGCAAAGAAAGAGCTGATAAATGAAGTATGTGTAGAATATTTTCCTCTTTTAATTTTATTTTCAATTTTACGTATATAGCTTTTTGTGTCTAATGGTAGCCATCTCCAGGGTGGAAAGGAGAGAAGAAAAAAAAAGAAATTTATATGATAGCTTCATCATATATTTAAAAGCAATAGCAAGTTGTACATAATAGATTTGCAATTTCATGCACAATCATCTTTTTAATCATACTATGTTGTGGAAATGCTTGTTTTATTCCATAAATTAAAACTTGAATTTTTAAATAGAAACGAAGCAACATGGTATAATAGAAAAAGTGCTGGATTTGGTATTCCAAGACATGGATCCGAGTCCAAGCTCAAGCATTTCTTCATTTTGTGACTATGGGAAATTTACTATACTTTTCTGAACCTCAGTTTTCTCATCTATAAAATGGGGATAAAACTTTCATTGCCTATCTCATAGGCATTCTCTGAGGACAAATGTGGACTAGAATTTCTGTTACGATTGCATTGTGGCTTGTTTACATTTAATAGGGGTGGGGATCAAACGTTTGTGCCCACTGGCTCTTAAGTCTACTGTGGTGGATTTGTAGAAGCACATGTAAATGAACTACACAGGTTGAAAAAATGTGAATGGATACATTATAGCCTCAGCTGCTGGCTGATACACCACATCAATGAGATCACAGGTACACTGAAGGACAGAAGAATTAATTTGCTTACCTGATGTATCAAGTCACCATGGAGCTCACTAGATGTATACACATCTGCAAGCTGTCATGATACATGCTGGGTGGGGTGGGGCAGGGGATTTGGGGGGATGCATGGATATAAAGTATAGAAGTTCCAGAAACCAACTTTAGACACTAAGAAAGGAAACTTAAATCTAGAATCTTGTTCTCTGTGTTACTACATGTTGCATGAACAGGACCAAAAGATAAACAGTGCCTGGGTGTTTCTGGGTATGTGATTACCAGAAGTAAGATTTTAGGCACATTAGAAACCAGAAGAATTTTTGTGATGGAACTATAAGAAAATCTGGACATTATTGAAGCAGTAAAGTTACTAGGCTATTAGTTTTAAACATTCTTCTAAAGTGGCAGCACAGTCCTTAAGGTTGGTGAAAAGATGATGGATACATTAGTACATGAGATTCAGATTGACACGGGTCCAAGTGGAGTGAGTGGGAGGCAACTCGATGATATGCTTGGGAAAATGGGGCTAACACCTAATCAAGCAACTGACAGGTGGGGGCTTAGCTGACAAGTAAAGCCAGAGCACATAAATGCTTCCACAAGCACGCTAAAAGCCTATAAAGTAAACTGGATGAGTCGGAATACTTGGCAGCCAGTCAGGACTTTGATATTATTGGCATAACAGACGGTGGGGGGAAAGAAGAAAACTGATGAGGTCTGGGGCTCCCAAACTACCCCAGGTAAGCTAGGGATGAGAAGACAAGAGGCGGTATAGCCGTGTGTGTGTGTGTGTGTGTGTGTATGGAGAGGGATTGGAGAATGGTAGGAGAAAAATGACGTAAACAATAAAAAAGGAAAAACTCTTATTGGTTTCAGACAATCTATGAAATCACTGTGGGGGGAAATTTCAGGCATAAATAATGTAAAAGTTACAATAGAAATATATCCTAGGTCACCTCATTAATGTTAACTAAGTTAGAGGGACCTAAAATATGAGGTCAGAGAGTAATGATAGAGAGTTCATATATCTGCACAGAGGTTGATGGAATGCTTTAGAGAAGAAGAGTTCAAGGTGTTGGGGTTGGGTTTTTTTACATTTTTGAGCTGCATGATAAGAAATCCATGTGTATAGATCATATGTGTATATGTGTGTGTGTGTGTGTGTGTGTATATATACATATATATATATATATATATATATATATATATATATATATATATATATATATATATATATATATATATATATATATATATATATATATATATATATTTTACAACTATGGTTATTCATTAGTCCAAACCTGATAGCTTGACATCTGGCATATCCAATGTGTTTCTGGTGAGCATGGAATGTCATGCATGCTTATAAAATAAGTTTTTTGAGAGTCATTTTTGCTATAAAGGCTAAGCAAACCATGTCAGATAGCATGGTGTAGTGGATAGAGAGATGGCCTCCAAGCCAGGAAGACCTGAGTTCAAGACCTACTGGCTGGGGGCAGCTAGGTGATGCAGTGGATAGAGCACAGGCCCTGGATTCAGGAGGACCTGAGTTCAAATCCGGTCTCAAACACATAACACTTACTAGCTGTGTGACCCTGGGCAAGTCACTTAACCCCATTGCCTAGCCAAAAAAAAAAAAAACAACAACGACAAAAAGACCTACTGGCTATGGGACCCTAGGGAAGCCATTTAAACTTCAGATGTTTTAACGAATCTCAAACACTATAAGGTACCATCTTGCATGGGAAGAAGGAATTTCCTCACCTGAAAGTTCCCTTTATCAATGAAATATCAGGTGTGTCCTTATGTGATATTCCATAAGTAGTCAACTGCATTTGGCTCATTTATTTATCCTATGAAGAAGGAAAGAAATGAACATTTATTAAGTGCCTACTATGTGGGAAAATACCTTATCTGAGCCACAGAACAACCCTGGAAGGCAAGTGCTATTATTATCCCCATTTTACAGTTGAGGAAATGAAGGAAACAGAAAAGTTAATTGACTCACTCTGGGTAATACAACTAGTTTCTGAGGCCTTATTAGAACTCAGGTCTTCCTAAATTCAGGCTCAGCACATACCCACTATGCCACCTTGCTGTTGTTCAGTCATATCTGACTCTTCGTGAACCTTTTTGAGGTTCGCTTTGCAAAGTGACTGGAGTGGTTTGCCATTCTCCCTCCAGCTCATTTTCCAGATGAGGAGACAAAGTTAAGTGACTTGCCAAAGGTCACAGAGCTCATAAGTGTCTGAGGCCAGATTTGAACTCATGAAGATGAGTCTCTCAGGTTCTAAGCCCAGTGCTCTATCCACTCCACTATCTAACTGCCCCCAAAAGAATACAGAGGCTTGTGTTATAGGCACAGAAGAGCAAGCACATCCAAGGCCAACGTTCCCACCTCTATCCCTACAGCATTGCTAATTGCCCCCCTCGGGTTTGTTGAACTTCAAAGTAATTTGCATGACTAAAGAATCTGCAGACAAAACAATATGCAGGATTTTAGCAAGTATTCACTTACCTTAAGGTAATTAGAGAGGATCCTGAGAATATACCTTGGGTGAGTTGCAAAAGTCCTGACAGTTGCCTACAGGTTCCTTTAGCGTATCAACCAGAATGATTGTGGGTCTGATTTACAAAAGAGCTAAAAATATGTTGATTAGCTCTAGGATACATTAGCCTAAGGCCATCTCAGAACAGGCTGGCAATACTCCATTTGAAGAAGAATATGACAGGTCGAAGAGATAGTAACTAACCCTTGATGAAAAAGCAGAGAATGGAAACTTTGGACACATAAAGAAAAACAACTTCTGAAATGAGATAACTTGGCTAGTTATCTTGAAAAAAAGCCAAGAGAGGTTATCACAACGCAGTCCTAAGAACTGGAGTTCTCTGGGAAGTTTATCCTCCTGTACCCTCACAGAAGCCTGGGGAGATTGTGTTCTAAAGAAAAGATAATGAGTTTGCAACATGATTTCCTTTCTCTATTTTATTTTCTTATTCTGTCCTATTTATACGGTTTGCTTTTTGATTTCTGGTTTCTGCCTGACCACTTGGTAGATAAAGCACCAGATGGGGGCTCAAGCATATTTGCACAATTATAACTGTGCAAAACATCCTTTCCACCCTGAATCTAGGGTACCAACAGATTCCAAAAGTCAATGGGACCTTTATTAAAACAAGTTGAGTATATGGTCTTGAGAAAAATGAGAAATGAAAGCAAGGTTTTAGGGATAAGTTATCTTAAAATCCAGAAGGAAGGGAAATGCAGAGGACTTAATCTTGATTGACAACTTTTTTATAGCAAGTAGCTGGCAATGGATGCTGTTATAGTGTTCATAGCATGATGAAGTTGAATATTTTCACTTGAAAAAAGACAGAAAAAAATTTCCTCACTCAGGTAATCAGTTTTGGAGAAGAGAGCTTCAACACAATTATAAAACAAAATGTTTGAATTGCTCTTGCAGACGCTAAGCATGCAAGATGGCTAAATGTTAAAGACTTTTCATTCATAAAAGGGACTCCAGTTATAGATGAGTAAATTTCATTTCTGTTAAAGAGACTCCTGGAATCAATAATAAAGATGAGGTACATCTAATAAATAAACACAACCTACTAGGGCAAATAAAACTGGATTTTAGTAGGAGGAAGTTATGGTTAACTAATGTTAACTTTAAGCAAATAAATATAAACACAAATAAGGAAGAATTGTATATATAATCCACTTAACAAATTTATTTAAAGATCATTGCTTCTCTTATTATAAACATAATAAAAATTAAAATAATGATCCTTAATTCTAGAGAGATGAAGGTTGATAACAAATATAATAGACATTTATAAGACCATGAAAAGTCTGGATGGGGTACCCTTATACTTACAAGCTTGAAAAAGGGAGATTTAAGATAAATAAAAGGAAGTAAGAGATTCCTCAATGATCTTGACAGATTAGAAAACTGGTCCAAATTTTGACAAAATGTCATTTAAAAAGGAAAACTTATTTTAAAATCTTCTATTGGGTTAAAATCTCTACTTGGGTTAAAAATTTCAATTTCACAAACATAAGAGAAAAAAATGTACGGGGCAGGTAGAAGTTAGCCTGGGGAAAAAGGTCACGATGAGGGAGGGGGTTCATTGACTTCAAGTTCAATATGATTTAATAGCATGATGTGACATCCAGAAAAAAAATATATGATACTACTTTGGAATGCATTGAAAGAAATATAGATTCCATAAATGATGGTCCCAATGAATTTTACTCTGGTCAGACTGTACATGGAATATTGTATTCAGTCCTGGATACCATAATTTCAGGAGGGCATTGATGAACTAGAGAATGTCCCAAGGAGATAAACCAGAGTGGTGAAGGACTTCTTACGTGAGCTTCTTGAGGGAAGAGAGTGTTTTTATTTTTTTATTTTTTTAAGTGAGGCAATCAGGGTTAAATGACTTGCCCAAGGTCACACAGCTAGTATGCCTCAAGTGTTAGTCTGAGGCCAGATCTGAACTCAGGTCCTCCTGCCTTCCTGGCTGGTGCTTTATCCATTGCGCCACCTAGCTGCCCCAGAAGAGACTCTTTTTAGCTTTCGTATTATATCCCTGACATTTAGCACAAGGAGTGGGAGGCACACAAGAGGCATTTAACATATGTTTGTTGACTTAGCTTAATTTGACACGATATAGTAGGGGGGAATGAGATATTGTTTTGACTCTTGAGTGAATGTTGAACCATCATGTACCCCAACTCTGGAGTAGCTTTTCAATGACCCATGTGTGCCAAGGACTTCAGATACTACATTTGTGGAAGATCGTCTGGGAAATCTATTTTTGAACACCGTTGGGTTGAAAGAATTAGTTGAAGAATTTTTTTTATATTGTTTCCTAGGTTGTGATTAATTAGCAGTTTTCTGATGTGACTTTTATTGACCAGATTAGTCATTCTCGTATGATTGTTTTCCTGCTGTATATTAAATACGCTGCATTATACCATTTATTAACATCTCTGAATGAAAATGTTGCATTTATTCATGTATAAGGTTTAATAGATCCTATGGTTATTCAGATGTTGGGACAGTGATACTCTTTCATAGAAATTGAGACATAGCAATGAATATTGGTTGAAGAAGGACCTTTTGACTATGCTGATGGCATTGTATGGGTTTGTCCTTTACCAAAGACTAATGTGGCAGGGCAGGAGTTCTTAACCTAGGGGTCCAGGAGCTTGGGATATGTATGTATATGTTTGTATGTATGTATGTATATATGTATATATATACATATATATGTGTATATACATATATATGTGTGTGTGTGTATATATATACACACATACATACATTTGTATATGTGTATAAATATGTATATCCTGCATACAAATACATATGCATATACATATATAATATACATATATATGTGTATATATCCCATATATATATACATACACATATATATATATGATAACTATTTCATTATAATTCATTTACTTTATAATCCTATGTGTTTTATTTTATACATTTAAAAACATCTTCTGAGTAGGATTACATAGCCTTCACCATGTTACCAAAGAGGTCAGCTGATATACAAAGATGAAACATTCCTATGGTAGGGAGATTTCAAGGGTGTACTAAAGGGTACAGAGACTGAGAAAAAGTAGACATATTATGTACACTGCCCATAACTATGATCCATTTGAGCATTCCCAAAGAAATATTTCTTAATGGGAAATTGTGGAAATATTTAGTAAGTGCTAGGTAATGACAATTATCAGGAATTTATGAGAAAGGTCAAGGGCTTCCTGGTAAAAGAAAAAGAGATTTAAATGCCAATTTTAGATTCTGCTAGTAAACAGATCATAGGATCACAGATTTAGAGTTGAAAGGAATCTTGGAGACCATCAAGTCCAAGCCCTTCATTTTATAGATGTGGAAAGTGAGGCAACAAAAAGCTACGTGACTTGACCAGGGTCATAGAATTAATAAGCACCTGAAGCAGGTATTGAACTCAGGCCTCTCTGATTCCACATCCAGTATCCAATCCGTTGCACCATGACGCATCTCTTAGGAAAGTGTATATTTTATCTTCGTAGTTTATCACAAAGCTGTAGCATTAACCCTTGCAACTCTGGAATCAGTAAAAGTCATGGTTCTAAATAAAATGAAGTTGACGATCGGAGCAAAACTCTCCTGGGAGATGAAATGTTTGGGCAAAGACAATGAATATTCTTTAGATTTGCCAGGTTCCCTAGAGCTCGCTGAGTCTCTCAGAAACACTTGCATCTTCCTAGTTCTCTAGACAAATTATATTGCCCCAGGAAAAGTGCAAAGACTATAGAAGAAACTGGTATTTGTACTTTGGAACTCCATCGTTCTCAGCATCCAGACAGAGTGCACTCCCTTAGGCCTGTCCTGGAGAGAAGTGTTCTCCTCCTTTCTCTCATCTGTATAGGGTTAGAACCATGGACACCTGTCATTGACATTTCTTCCCCATAATATTCCCTAGCAAAAGGTTACTAAGATAAATCAACAAGTATTTGTTAGGAAACATGGGAGGGGGGGAAGAGCACTGGATCTAGAGTCAGAGGACTTGGATTCAAATCCATTTTCAGTTGCTTAATAGATATGACTTTGGTCAAATCACTTGAGTATTCTAGACCACAATTTTCCCATTTGTAAAGTAAGGTGGGTTAGACTAGATGACTTCTCACATTCCTTCCATTTCTAAATCTATAATCCAAATATTACTGTGTTTTTAAAAACTGGTAAAGCACACACATAGAGAAGCACAGGACAGAGTCTGTCAGTTTAAAATTTTTATCTTTGGGGACAGCTAGGTGGCGCAGTGGATAGAGCACCAGCCCTGGATTTAGGAGGACCTGAGTTCAAATGTGGCCTCGGACACATAACCCTTACTAGCTGTGTGACCCTGGAGAAGTCACTTAACCCCACTGCCTAGCCCAAAAAGAAAAAAAAATTATCTTTGTCTAAAAATGTCTTTTCGTACCTATTATAATACTTGTTGGAATCATACGTCCTTTCAAATCCTAGAAACTTACTCAGTAAAATTCAAAAGAAAAAAAAAACTGAGCAGGGTTATAGAGAGGATATCCTTTTCAAATCCTATCATTTCTCTAGGCCACATACATTAACTTTGGAGCAAGGCAAAAAAGGCCACTGTGTTCAGTGATAGGGATACACACCCAGGCAAACAAGACAGTCCTTGCCCTTGAGAGGCTTACATTCTAATGGGAGAATACAGTATACAGTTATTCCCTTCAACATCATGGGAGATAGGGGTGTGGCACTCCTGTGATCTGGAAAATATGTGTAAAATTTTTTGGCCCTCCTTTGGTGCCAAAGAAGTCTGAATATTTTTCTTTTTCTTGTATGGGATGTTTACACTGCCTTATTGTAAAATTTGGGTGAAGTATTTGGTCATAGGCTTTGTGTCATCTGCTGACCTTCACGTGTTGTCTGTGGCTTCCCAAAACTTTCAAAAAATTCCCATTTAACTTCTAATGCCAACCCATATATATCGAAACTGCAATGGGGAAAGTTGCAATGTGGAAGTGATAACTATATATGGGAGAGTGTTTTGGAAAAGGGATGTCACAGGGATTGTGATTGGAATCACAGCACAATTGATTGAAATGTTCTTTTCAGAAAAAATAGTGCTGATTTGATAGCCGGGTTGGAAAGTGAGAAGGTAGAGAGGATAT